GAAAATATATTTCTAAAATCGGTTGCGATAAGTGAACCGATGGTAAAAATACTCTTCAAGGACGGTTGTCCTAACATCACCGCTATTGGAGATGTATTTGCAGTGCTGGTCGCTTAAGTAACCTGACTCTGAAAATAATTTTCGAACACCAAAAAAAAAGCAAGAGCTGGCCGCCGGCCAGCCTGCCGTTGCTCCACCATGGAAGGCTACTAGAATTTCTAATGGAGCTAAAACACTGTAAAAAGGTCTACAACACAAAATATGACTCCAAAGGTCAAGTGTGCTGCCAAACACATTGACACTAAATTATATGTTGTAAAGGAGAAAATCCAGAATCATTTTGAAAGCATTGAGCACATAAGTACCGAGTAAGTACTTACGGATCCGCTTACCAAAGGCTTATCACCCAGTGCGTTTAGAGAACACACAGTCGACATGGGTTTACGGGAAAGCCTATGATTTCTGGATACTAAGGGCCTAGTTGAGCATCTGTTTCAAAACAGAGAGGTGCATTATAGCTGTTAAATCTAATGACAACTGACCGTGAAGATGAGGCATGCTCTATGCACTGCTCTGTGATGAAATGGGAAAAAGAAAAAAGGAAGTTAAATTTAAGTCATAAGGTGCGATCAAGGGTGAGAATGTTAGGTTGATCTCCACCAATTTGACCCAACGACCAATTAGGCCCTTGATCGGTGCCTTGATTGGGGGCGCCCAACCGTTCTTCTGGCTGATGGGCCCCCATCACGCAGCGTAATAAATAGGAGGTGGGGGCTGGGGCTTGAGTCACGAGGCTCACGGCAGCCACCAGCGCCCCACCATGTCTTTACCCTAGTCTGATCTAGAAGGGCGCGCTGTAAGCGATGGGAAGCGTCATCGCCTTCAGCGCCGCCACTGGACCGCGTCTCCACGTCGCTGCTACCTCGTCGATGGCGCAATGGCCGCAACTATGCTCGACATGAGGCATATCAGCAAGTCCTCCCATTAAGCTAAGTATTACCGACCGATCTACGCCTAGAAGAACTTTCAGATTTATCACTATGTTCCTCCCCCTCTTCCTAGCTTGTTGTTTCTGTTTTGATTTGAGAAATGGATGAGGAATCTGAGTAAGATAGTAGCCTGGCCTTGTGGATGTGCTTGCTCCAATTAATTGGTTCATGTGGAAGAATTTGGGTGGGATTTGAGGACAACAATGATGACAAATTGTTCATTGATTTGCGTCTGAAAAATATTAGTTCCATTCTTTTTACAACACTGTAGTTATTATATCTACATGTAAATGTTGGTCTTTTAGTTGGCCTGTTTGTAGTTATTATATCTGCATACAAATCTGATTGATTCCTCTCTATATATGGTTGTTGTGATGTGATCAGAATTTGCTTTATTTATTATGACTTGGGTTTGCATTGCTTAACTCCAATGTCCCTGCTCAATGCTAACCTTTTCTTTCCCAGGTTCAGTGCATCATTGCAAACTGAAAGAGCTCCACTAGGAGGCTTTTGGAGATAAATCTGATAAAATGAAATGTACTTGCTTGATATAGCACTGATGTATGAGATAGCCTGACATACCACAAGGTACAAGTAGTCATACCACCTGACATGCTTGAGGATTGTTGTCATTGCTACCTGCTATATCTTAATATTGTTGTTTTCTTTGGTTTCTTACTGCAACGATGCTCATTTGCTTGTAATCTTTTCATGAATCCAACATCAAGTATGTATAATTTCATATTAGTCACTTTTAATCCTCTGACTTATGATTTGTGAAACTAAACTTTATAAAAGATACCTGAAAGTTCTCCCACTTAAGTTTTGTATCAGTGTTAGTGTTGTGTGACAACTATCTTATTTGTACAGAAAGATCTTTTTTTACTTTATAAATGTGAGGCCTGTGGCATGTTGATTTGTTTATGGCATATGCAAGTGATGTATCTTTCCTGTTTATGGTTGCAGGGTCCAGATGTGCAGTAGGCGGTTGGTTGGTAGCTCCTAGATATGCTGCGGCAGCATGGCAGCTTCAGGGTTCTTCACTAATAGCGCGTGGTGTAGCAAGGGTGGTGAGCATCACCCTATTTGGGGCATATGCTACTTTAATGTTTCCTTTCACCATATGGATATAAGGGAATCTTGTGTAGAAGTGTTAAGATTTTGGTTAATTGATCACAATTTGTCCTGAGCAAAACTATATCAAAAGATGACTAACCAGATGCAACTCCTTTCAAAGTTCGTTCTTGCCACTAATATGCAAAAAAATATTCATCAACTAATATGCATATAAGGGAATCATGTATTAGCTTGCCTCCTCTATACTGTTGTATTGCTAGTCTGCTAATATTGCCTCTTGCCTGAATGCCTGCTATACTGGTACTGTGAAATGCGAATATTGCCTGAATGCCTGAATCCCCATGTATTACCTAGTTGCTTGAATCCCCATGTATTAGGCATTAGCTGTTGAACTCTTTGTATATTAGTTGAACTGCATCTATCTATATTTGTATAGGTCATTGCCTGAATCCCCATGTATTTCACTGTTTTCTATTTAGAATCGGCATAGTGCATGCATTTAGCTGTGTACCTGCCATCTAGACCTCTTTTGACTGAATCACTGGACAACAAGTTTTGTAAAACCAAGACTATTACTTATAAGTAAAGTACACTATGAACATTAAGGAGTAACTATATCTGCCAACAAGAATATGTAAGAACATCATAGTGCTTTGCCAGTACATCGTAGTGCTCTCTATGGTCACTCTTAATTCAAAGACGGACAACCAATCAGCTATATTATTTTACTGCATATTTAATAAGATTTCTCATGAATTGTTTATTTTTATCTTGTTTTGACCGAAGGATATGGAGATGAATGGATGTGCAGCAGCTATTGTGTATTGCCGTCGAAGGGCTTGTAGGAAGTAGCAATTAGTAAACTTCTATTTCCTATATGTTAGCTACATGAACTATAGCACTGTAACTTTTAGTAGCACAAGGCACATACTTTGACAACCAGATTGTCCTATATGGTTTTGGAGGATGTTCCTTTTGTCTCTACTAGAGGAAGTAGATGTGATGGCGAGCTTACCAATGTGTGCTACCGTAAACTTTTGGTCAAATTTATGAAAATGCATGTATATTTATTGAAGTTGAATTCTAGTTGTGTATCTATTGAATGAACTTTTGAAGCTCAGTGTGACATTTGTAATAATTGTTGACCAATTAATTTTTATTTTTTTAACCATTCAAAACTATACTGTTGGACCATCTGTCGGTAAAACTATATGTAGCATCAAATGATTTGTCGATAAAAGAAGTAACGAGTTTTCTGTCGCTAAATAGTAGCAACCGGCTGTCTGTCGCTATAAATATTCAGGCAAAAGACTATCTGTCGCTAAAAGTACTGGCTGTTGTTAAAGATTTTTAGCGACAAATCGTCTGTCGCTATATCCGCTTTTAGTGTCAGATCGTCCATCACCAATGTTGATGTTGTGGTGTAGTGACACCGGATACGATTAGGGTTACCCGATACAAACCCACCGCTGCGGACTATATAACGAGGGTAGGGTCTCATATATTGTCATCTTATTTCTTAGCCACAAACCGTTGGCTCATCAGCACCCCTGCAACCGAGCACATGGTACTGCATCCCCTCATTTTTATCTTTAAATCTTGTCTACTCTCACCTGCCGCAACAAGGACGCATGCATGCAGCTCCAGTAACGAATCGTCTACTGCCCTTGAATTAGGTGGGGGCGACTAGCCACGTGGAGCGAGCAATTATGTGGCACCGTACCGACACATTTGTCAGTTGGGTAATCACGAGAAGTCTACACGGCACTAATAAAATATATACAAGCGTGCGTTTTGTTTGGAGTAGTATCAAGGTTTAGTTGCCGAAAATTTTGGTAAAACGAGATTGTAACATTTTTGTTGTTATTTAGTAATTAGTGTCTAATTATAATCTAATTAGGCTTAAAAGATTCATCTCGTGGATTTCGTCTAAACTGTATAATTAGTTTTATTTTTTATTTATATTTAATGCTTCATGCATGCGTTCAAAGATTCGATGTGACGGAAAATCTTGAAAAATTTGACGTTTTGGAAGGGAACTAAACAAGCTCCAAGCAGACCTGAAATCACAAGTGTTTGACCACCGTGGGTCCTCTACCAACAGGCCAACAGGGGGAGGGGAGACAGATCACTGTTCAAGACCATTCGTAGTGATACGTACATAATATTAATATTCGGTTCTGTATTATGTTATGACAAGTGTAGTAGTAACGCGTGCATATTATTGCCTGCACATGACAATAAAATAAACATGCCCCTAAAATCCACGGTGGAACGGATCCCAAAATACTTATATAACTCTCTTTCTCCGTTTTAAATTATAACATGTTTTAGTTTTGTAGATATATTATTTTTACTATATACCTAAACATAATATATATCTAATTAAGTATATAGTAAAAGTTATGTACGTAGAAAAGTTAAAATATTTTATAATTAATAATTTAAAATAGAGGAAGTACTTTCTTGGTTCCAAAGAAAATGTGCGTCTCAATCAAAATGAATATAGAATCCGTGAAGCTCCTTTTTTGTCTGCTCCATCGAAATGCATAGGGGTGGGACTGCTTCTAATACAAGTTAATGATGGAGTTAGGATGTTTTCAGGACTGGTCCTGAAACCTTAGCAAGTTTGGCCAAGCTCGGCCCGAGCGAGCTTGACCAGCTCAGCCCACAAGCCATCGCGGATGGGGCCAGGCACTGCCTAAGGTTAGATTCATGGGTTAAAGTTTAGCGGCCCCTTTTAGTTATTTTTTAGCCCCCATGGATCCAAACAGGAGCACTAAATGTGGAGGGCTAAACTTTAGCCCATCCCTTTCCATTAGCCCTTTTAATGTAGGCTAAAGAGGGCTAAAAGTAGTTATGTGGGGCAATAGACACATATTACCCTCAACACATCCCTATGCATGGTTGTGCATGGGTATTAATTAAGGGCAAATGGATCGTAGTATGGTACATGGCTAATCTTTTTTTAGGGGGAAATAGCTAATCTTTAGCCCCTAGATCCAAACAATCCCACGGGCTAAACTTTAGCCCCTTCATCGAAACAGGGCCTAAGAAAATCTCGTTCCAAGCATAACTCGAAGTATTAAATTTTATTTTTTTTTTCATTAGAAAATGTGTGAGTGGCACAACCAAGCTTAGGTCCAAGCTTTAGAGCTCTAAACATTTTAATTAAAGTACTTTAGCTCAGTTTTAAGATCTAAAGCCCTAGTTTAAGGTGAGCTAAATATTAGAGTAACTTTAGACTACTTGTTTGTTTGGAGAGTTTAGCGGTAAAGTTTAGAACTCTAGAAAATTTAGAGCAGTGGATCCAAACACACCTTTAATCGGATGTAAGCATGGCGCCTACTATATAGATGTAGTTCCACCTCTTCGACCAACTCATCGCCGGCACCACCCGCGCATCCAGCCGTCGTCACCGAAGCAGGACGACGACGCAGGTGCTGCGGGCATCGGCGACGTCGACATCCCCATCCACCCGGCAGGACGCGTCGCATCCGGGCATCGGCGACGTCGACATCCCCGGCGTGCGTCGCATCCGGCAGTCCTCCCTCCCGCAGGCGCTGCACGATCTGAACGACCTCTTCACAAAGCAGTTCATTGACAACGGCCGTGCGCTGAGCCAAGCCGACGGCATCCTGGTGAACACGTTCGACGCACTGGAACCCGTGGCGCTTGCCGCCCTGAGAGATGGCAAGGTGGTCCCCGGGTTCCCGCCGGTGTACGCCATCGGACTGCTCAAGTCGTCACCCAGCAGCAGCTGCACAGACGGCGCCGGCAGTGAGAAGCAGGCGGCGGCGGCGTCCTCCTCCCCCTCCCCTATTTTTGCTTGGCTTGGGGAGCAGCCGGCGAAGTCGGTTGTGTACGTCGCGTTCGGGAGCCGCACCGCCGTGAGCCACGAGCAGCTCCACGAGATGGCCGCGGGGCTGGAGGCGAGCCGATGCCGGTTCCTGTGGGTCCTCAAGACGACGGTGGTCGACCGCGAAGACACGGCAGAGGTGCGCGACGTCCTCGGCGACCAGTTCCTGGAGCGGGTGACAGACCGCGGCCTGGTGACCAAGGGGTCGGTGGAGCAGGAGGCCGTGCTTCGCCACGCCGCCGTGGGGGTGTTCCTGAGCCACAGCGGGTGGAACTCCGTGACGGAGGCGGCGGCGTGCGGGGTGCCGCTGCTGGCCTGGCCGCGGTTCGGCGACCAGCGCCTGAACGCCATCGCGCTGGAGAGCGGCGGCGCCGGGGTGTGGATGGAGCGCTGGAGCTGGGACGGGGAGGATGGGGTAGTGAGCGGGAGGGAGATCGGGGAGAAGGTGAAGGCGGCGATGGCTGACGCGGCGGTCAGGGCAAGGGCGGCGAGGGCCAGCCAGGAGGCCGCCAAGGCCGTCGCCGAGGGAGGCACCAGCTACCGGAGCATGCAGTTGTTCATCGGCAAGCTCAAGGCTTGGTAACCTAAGCTCTCGATTGGTCCCTGCAAGATCGTCGTGTGATTGTGTATTGGAATAATGCTCTGCAGTATACAGCCGGAGCGTATGGGCATGATTATGTGTTCGTGCTAGCTACCTCATGGTTTCGTCGTTCGTAATAGTAGCCGTCAGCTGCTGCTACTGTAACTAAGTATTTATCAAAAAAATATAAAGATATAAAAAGATATTGATATTTATAATGTGTAATAAATACAAGTGGATGAATAATAAAATATATTTTTATAATAAATCTATTTAGAGATATGAATATTAAAATACTTTTAATAAACCTAGTTAAAATTTAAATTTTTTTACTTAGTTCAAATAAATTTTAAATAGTATTAGTACTATAGTAATAATATAAGTAAGAGCATCTCCAAGAGGACCCTATATCCCTTTTCTATTCATATTTTTGGGAAAAAAAAGAAAAACTCATCTCCAAGAGTATCCCCATATCCTTTCCTCATCTTTTAGCACTTGACAAACCACACTCCTCCGCGCGTAAAAATGCATGCATCGTAGTCGCGCGTATCCGGACTTCCTCGCGCCATCTCCCTCCTTCCCGCGCTCCACCTCGACTATTTCCTGCGCCATCTCCTTCGCGCCATAGCCCAGGTTCCGTCCAGGGGAGAGGATCTACGCCGCCAACGACCTAGGGTTGAGGTATGCCATCGATCTAATTGTCCATTGTGCCTCTACTCTTGTTTTCCCGGTCGCTAGGGTTTCATGCTGCTGGAGTCCGCCGCCTGGAGGCCATGGCCGTTGCTGGCCACGGCAGCGGCAGCCACAGCCGGCCGCAGCCGCCTCCTGGACACGAATTGGCCGTCCGTAGCCGCGTTTGGCCTAGCAGAGACCGTGGCTGGCTGCCCCTGCCTACCTGCGCCTGGTCGTGACTGCTTGCCGGCTGGCCTTGGGTGCCCCTACCTTCCTGGCATCCCTGGCCGGCTGCTACCTCATGTCTGGCCTCCTGCTGTCTCTGTGTGGCCGGCCGTGGCCTGGGCAGGGGTGCATGCCATTAGCAGATGGATGGCGATGGCCTGGCCATGGTTGGCTGTGGCCACAGTGTAGATCTTATTTTTTTCAATATATGCTACTCTCTGATGTTGTAATAATTATTCTCTTGTACATTGCTTATCATTGATTTATTCATGAATACTTGTAGGATCGTCCCAATGTCCGGGGGTGGATTTTGGACAAACATGGTCATGAGAGTCGATGATGGTGCTGGTTTGGAAGAGTTCAGTTTTCCCATGACACAGGACACCCAGGAAATTGATGAGATGCCTACTGAAGTTCAAGCAGTTGATGTGCAGCCACGTGAAGGTGCTCCACGCCCTTGCAGTACAAGGCCCTATTTGAAGAGGACAAAAAATTTTGATCCAAAGGAGGATGAAGTTGTTGTCTCCGCTTGGTTGAACGTTAGCAAAGATCCTGTGCACGGGGCTAATCAATCTCGTGCCTCCTTTTGGAGTAGAATTCGTGATTACTATGAGAAAAACAAGAAAACTAAAGCTTACAGAACGGAGAGTTCCATTATGCATAGGTGGATGACTATTTTGGTGCAAGTGAACAAGTTTTGTGGATGCTACGAAGCCATTGAGCATAGGAATCAAAGTGGTGCAACCATTCAAGACAAGGTTTGTTTTCCTATTTGGTTCATTTGTTCATTTATTTTGTTTTCCTATTTGCTTCATTTGTGATGACAAACACATTGACAATTAATAACATGTACAAATTTCTCAAGCATCCGAGATGTTCAAGGGATTAGACAACGAGAACAAGACACTCACTCTAATGCATTGTTGGAACAAGTTGAAGGTGAAGACAAGTGGAAGGCCAAGATGAAGGAAATGGCATAGTAGAAGCAAGCCGCTAAGAAGAAACAGAAGATTCACACGGATTCCACGGCGAAGAATGTAGAAGTCAACAACATTGAAGATGTCACAAGATTCCACCCCCAGAGTCCGAAGCACGAAAGAGGCCAATGGGTCAAAAGAAGGCAAAAGAAGCTCTAAGGCGAGGAGGAGGTGAAGCTTGTGTGGATCCTTTGGACAAAATGTGGGCTAAGAACAAGGCTTTTGACATGGAGAAAGAGAAGAAGAAAGAGGAGAGGTATATGGCTTCACTTGAGCTAGAGAAAAAGCGCCTGGCATTAGAAGAAAAAAAAGGTAGAATTGGACATGATGGAAAAGGAAGACAAAATAATGGCAATGGACATTACCTCCCTGACCCCGCTGCAGCGGCAGTACTACACGACGATGCAGGAGAAGATCGTTGCTCATCGTTTGTCAAATTAGAATTAGTTCATGTCATTTTATTTCTATAGCCAATTATTTTTGGATTTAGTGAACCTTCAATTATGCATTTATTTAAGACTGTTGATCTTGTCATTCAGTGAACCTTCAGTATCCACTATGATGAAGTAGTCTTTTTTTAATAAATGAGTTGCTTGTTCTGTGTACCTGTGTTCAATTATCGCTGGGTGCTGATGGCTGCTGCACGATACTGTTGCTGCTACTGATGGCCGGCTGCTGCCGATGGCTACCTGCTGCTGCTACTAGATGGCCGGTAACTACTGCTGCTACTATTTCATTAGTACTATTGAACCTTTGTCTGTTGCTACTGGATGGTGCTGGGCGTACGATCCGGCGGTAATCCTGTCCTTCGCCGCCGTGCCGTCCACCGAGCCGACGGTAAAATGGTTTTCACCGCCGGCTATTCATGCTATGTCCCGACGCTTGAAGAAACCGGCAGAGATAATAAGACTTTTATCGCCGGTGCCAAGATGGATGGGCGTGCTACTGTAAGATCCGGAGGTGAAGGAAGTTATCACCGTCATGGTGGGGGAGGGCCGGTGCAGCGCTGTCGTGACCTGGTGGGTGTCTCAGTTATTTTAGTTTGGAACTGAATAACCGAAAGAACCGAAAACCGAATTGGTCGGTTCCAGTTTTTTTGAGAACTGATCGGTTCTAGTTTTTCAGGAACCGAATCTGTTAGGTAACCGAGGAACCAAACCGAAACCGAATCAAAGAACCGAATGCCCAGGCCGACTCCTACCCCTGCTACTATTATACTTATAGCCTATAAGAACGTCTTGTTAGTGATATGGCTCCTCACGTGGGCTGTGGACCGTGCCATGCCACTGTGTTCTCATGATGCACGCACGCAGTCAATGCAAATACAGTACTCCCCCAGTTCTTAAAGAGGTCATTTCAAAGTTGTCTTAAGTCAAACATGTTAAACTTTGACTACAAATAAATTCTTTTAGGTTGAGTTTGAAAACATGAAAGTGATGTAAGTAGGTTCATCTCGAAATGTAGTTTTATAAAAGTATATATATTGATTATATTTTATAAATATTTTATAGCAAAAGGTAACTGTCAAACTTGTTTTTGGAGATCATGTCGATGCCTAAATTGACTACCTTTAGGGACATGAAGGGAGTACTCAATAAATGATAGAACTGGTGGCGGGTTGGAAATGAAATTATCTCCATGAACACGTTAGGGATTTTGTTTATAGGTAATGGATAGAGGCGCCTCCCGTTTGGTAGAGGTGGTTCTATGAAAAACGTGTCTCTAAAAATAGTTTTTAAGTCAAATTGTCTCTAGAAATTAAATTTTAGGGGCCGCTGAACTTTCCATCCACCTCTAAAAACACCCTCTATTTTTAGAGACGGATGACAAGCTTAACCACCTCTAAAAAAATATTAGTTTCAGAGAGAGCTAGGTATTCCATCCGCCTCTAGAAATAGAGATAGCTGAAAATTCTAGCTGTCTTTATAAATGGATTTTAGAGATGGCTAGCAAATCCGCTTGCCTCTAAAAATATGTGCAACACGGTTAAATTCAAAATTTCCAAATCAAATTAGATGAAGACAAACTTTATATCAAGTTGTACTGCACAAAGGGGATCTACAACTTTATAGTTTACAACTTTTTCATTTAATCTTTTGAGGCCCAAAAATTATGTTTTAAGTTTTCATAATTTGAAAATCAATATTTTAAAAAAGTTCAGTTTACCTTGGATGGAGAAACAACCTAAACAAAAGTTGTAGAACTAGAAGAAATCTGCAACTCTTTAGTTGGCTATCTTTTAATTCCAAATCATTTAGTGCTAGTTAATTGTGTTTTAAGTTTTTAGATATTGTAATTCTTTTGTTTTGAATTTTTCAAAGAACCTTTGATTGACAAAAGAACTAAACCAAACTTGTAGTACTAAAAAAGATAGCAACTTTTTTGTTGACGACATTTTTCATTTCAAATCATTTAGGACCTACAAATTCTGTTTTAGGATTACTGATTTTGAAATTCATTTTTTTATTTTTCAAATGGACTCGGACGGAGAAATGATCTAAACAAGTTATAGTACTCGAAGAGGTCTAGAACTTAGTACTTTAAGATTTTTACAATTGAATTTGTTTAGAGTATCAAATATATATTATAATATGTACTAAAATGAATACAAAATGAGTGTATCAGCCACTTAGTAAGAAGTGACTTTGAGCCGTAGTGGTAGGAAAGCAACATGTAAGGCTTGATGTTAGAAAGCAACATGTAAGGCTTGATGTTGTGAGTTTGATCTAACCAAACGAAAAGTATCATATATTCATATATTGAGCTATGCTCATATAACCCAACCCATGTACTTCCTCAGTCACAAAATATATAAGTGGCATTCTCACTTCTTGAGAAGTTAAATATTTTTAACTTTGACCAAATATATATAACAAAATATTAATATTTATGATGCACAATTAATTAGTATCAGTGATGAATCGTTGAATAAATATTCATAATAAACTTATTTTGAGATATAAATGTTTCTAATATTTTCTATAAATATAGTCAAATTTAAGAAATTAGCGATACTTATTGTGAGGCTATTGGAATATAGTATAAGTTATTACGAGGGCTACGTGCCAACAACTATAGTAGGTGCTTTGCTTGGGCGCCCTCGCCTGGGAGCTGCACCCAGGCAGGTGCATCTGCCGCGCGCAGGCACCGGTGTCTGGCTCAGAAGCAAATACGTGCTAAGTCTCTAATTTTATTTTTTAAAATTAAAGAGGCCCACCGCCCCAATTCGCTCACCATATAATCGAGAAGATGCAACAGTAATCATTAGCACATATATATGATAGAAGTTTCGTGTTTTTCTTGCTGTTTGTGTGTGTCTGCGGGATTTCGTTGGTAATCCAAGATTACTCGTGAGTCCTCTGTATTATTCTTGTAATATTTAGTTACCTATCCTCTTAACGAAAAACAGACTGAACACCCAATCGAGAAAATAAAATATATCGTAGAAGTTCCAAACCACGTAGGGCCTACTGTGATTAATGGTTGCTGGTACGGTGGCATACGTACATAAGTGCATTACTATTGCATCCCCCATCTTTATCTTAAAATGTGTACGTACTATCACAATCTCACCGGCCGCAACAAGGACGTTCTACTGCACTTTAATTATGTGTAGGTGGGGACTGCGACGTGGAGCGAGCAATTGTGTTTGTGTGGCACCGATCGACACGTACATTTGTCTGTTGGGTTATCACGGGAAGTCTACAAGGCACTAAATACAAGCGTGCGCTTTGTTTGGAGCAGTATCAAACAGACGCTTATTCTAGTAAAATAATTGTGGTTGTGTCTGTAGTGACAATAAAATAAACATGCCCTGACTTCACAAGCGTTTGGTTAGAGTCTTATCCACAGACGTGCATTTTTTTTTATAAAGACGCTCAAAAGAGTGTCTCATGTCTAGAAAAACAAAGACTAGTACAGAAAATAAACAATAAGACATAAAATAACCTCTAGAAATAAGAGTACACCAAAAATCAAATTGGTCATCTTCTTCCTTCGATCATCCGCCGCTTGCCGGATCTTGAAAATCGCACTGAACAAACGATAAAGAAAAGAACACCTGCAAACATCCTCGCCAAAAATGGCTTCGAAGACCGTAAAGCCACTCGTTGCTGACTACGAGATCTAGAACCCACTGAATGAATATTGGCTGGAGGAACCCTCCAAGGAACGTAGGCTTGCAATCCTTCACCATCAGAACAGTGTGTTGAAAATATCGGGCCTTGCTATTGAAATGACCGAAAGATCGAAGATGTTGAAATCATCACATCGAAAGTCAGCCAACTTCTTCCAAGATAAAGACACCAAGTGCCAAGATCAGAAGAGAACAAATGAAGAGAACCAACAAATCTGACAAACCATGCTCTCACTGGCTCTTCGCCAATGCCAGATTGAATGTCGTCGAGATAGGGAGAAGCCGGAGAGACCTTATTCCAATGTGCCATCCTCGCCACCACCTTGTTGATGACACCAGAAACCAAACTCTACGAGAACAAAGAATGAACCTACACTACTATAGAAAGTGTATTCATCGCCGGGACTTTCACCAACGGTTTTGGAATAAACAAGTGATTCGTATCACCGCCGGCCCATTACCTGGGGGACCCCTCCAGGCCGCCCAACCGGCGATGATTGTAGGTTTCACCGCCGGCCCGGCGTACGATCCGGTGGTAATCCTGTCCTTCGCCGCCGTGCCGTCCACCGAGCCGACGGTAAATTGGTTTTCACCGTCGGCTACTCATGCTATGTCCGACGCTTGAAGAAACCGGCAGAGATAATAAGACTTTTATCGCCGGTGCCAAGATGGATGGGCGTGCTACTGTAAGATCGGCGGTGAAGGAAGTTATCACCGTCGGATTACCGTATGATCCGGTGGTGAAACAAACATTGTTTGAGTGGACGCGTTGGGTACGCTGCCAGACAAGGCGATGGGAAATACGCGCCTAGGGAACTCGACGCTGCCATGTGAATCACCACCATTGAATGGACGTGTTGGCCATGTCTGCGAGGCGAGGCGACAAGAAATGTACGCGCCTAGGGAACTCGACGCTGCCATGGTAATCGTCGCCATTGCTTCGTATGGACAAGAAGGAGTTTGGTATGTTGGTTTCTCCACTCTGAACTTAGCAAAATTTTGCACTTGATCTTTCTTTGTCTTTTTTCCTCTTCCTCCGCAAGCATGGCAGGCCACAACGACTCTGAAAGCGACAAGTCATATTCATACGATGTTGAGTTTGAAGCAAAGGAGAGCGAGATCTGTTCGGCCTCTCTAATGGTGGCGTGAGGTTTCGTGGTCGTGGCGAGGGCACCTTTGTCTGACCTTTTTGCCATGGCAAGAAAGTGCCATCATGAAGCCTTCTCGAGTTGCTACAGCATGCGAATGGGAAGTCTCGCAGAGGCAAGGGGATCTCTAGCCCAGAGCATAGTGCTTTGGCCAAGTATATCATGAATAACGACGCCATGGCCCATGACCGCGAGCTTGGTGGAGTTGGGGACTGTGGCAGCAATGAGGCGGTCAAGGCTAGCAGAGACCAGCGCCAAGCGACCAATAGGGCCAACAGG